GATTTAAAAGACAAATGATGACAAAAATAAACATCAAAACATACAAAACTTAGTAAACAAATAATCTCGATCACATAACTGAAACATCGCTTACACATTAATTATAACTATAGTAATTGTTCTAACTAATTTATTTATACTTATTAATTAACACACTGTTATTATTATACGGTGTTTTGTTAGATTAGAGATTTTATGTCATTTAGAGACAGTAAAAGTATAATATATAAATATAATGCAAATATTACATTATTTTATAAGTTAATTTTGTTAGATATTCAAAGTTAAATTAAACATGACTTTATTATAAATTAAACTTTTAAATATAAAAAATATTTATTTGAGCAAAAATGTAAGAAAGGTAGCTTTATGTTGTCCATGCCTTTTTGTTGGGAGATCGTGATTTGGGTGGTTCAAGATTCTTTTACTTTAAATTTTGTGTACGTAGCTGAGAATATCAGGGAACCCGTTTTTTCTGCCGACACTATGCACTTTCCCGACATGTAATCTCACCATTTCAACTGAGTTCATTGCATCCATAAAATCAAATAAATTTAGTACATATGTTCAATTTGATTCTCAAGCATGAATCTAAGGACTAACATCAATTTGATTAATATTTTCATATAAATATATTTAAGATTTTGGTTTGATATTTGTTTCATGTGTTTTTGAATGAATCACATCAACTCGATGTAGATGTTTTACCCATTGAACTAACAATTTTTTGTTTTTTTTTTCAATCTTTCTTAGAGAGTGTTAGTTTTATGATTATATAATTAAGATAAAATTAATATGCGAGTCACTTAATCAATTTTACAAATATATTTAATTTGCTGTATTCTTTTTTATGGTAATTAATCGGAAATTCGTGCATTTTTTTTAACAATTATATCTTTGTTACGTGGAAAACGGAAAAGTAGGAAAATGGAAAAGATGTAAACAAAGATGAAAATGAACTGAAGGGATCAAACTGTAAATATAAGTTAAAATAATGTAAATTGTAAGAAAATAAATAATTAATGATAAAATAAAAATTAGAAAAAAAATCTATGAAAGTCGTGATCCAGATTGTAATCATCATCGCCAGATTTGTCATTTTTTTATTTGCAAGATTCTCAGAGTGTTTGAATTACCATAATTTGTCATTTTTTTGGATTTGAATAGTTTATATATATATTTTTTATGATAATTAAACCAAAATAAAATAAAGAAAAAATTGCATAAATTATCATAACAACTTGAACATTATTCATATTGTATCCGTTGTGCTTATTCATTCCATGTTTTGCAATAGTTATCATAAGTTAACTTTCATTTTGATCCAGTGTTATTCTTTTTTCGAACTATCGACCGCTTTTCCTATCTCTTTAACTTTTATTTTAATGTTTCCTCACTATACTCTGTATCACAATATTCTTTGCTTGTTACATTATAACACATTCCCTATATGTCTTTGTCTCATATTTCCCTTTCAATATTTTGATATTTGATAACTCAAAAATTTTCCAAAAAAAAAAATATATTTCCTAATATACATTTTTTTTCTCATCAAAAATAAAAAATAAATGTGTTTATGTGTCAAATATATATATATATATTATAAATAAATATGTTTTTCAAATACTCATTTATATATAAATTTAATCAGAATTAAGGCACTCATTTTCCCACACCCATATTTTCTCAAATTTAGTACGTATCAAATTAATCAAAACATACAAATTAAAAAGTATTTTATTTTTATTTTTTTCTCCTTTATTAAATAACTTAACACTTAATTTGTTTATATGTTTTTATTAAGATTTTCCTTTAATATTGCTATGTGGGATTTAATTTCACTTGGGCTGTTGAATGGGTTCGGTCGTGTTTAAAAGCGAAAGAAATACCCGACTTTATCTCAAACAAAGTAGCAATTTTAATCTTTTATATTATATTTACTGGATACTTCTATGTACTCACATATGATATTTACATTTTATTTATGTATAAGTTTTATAAATTGATAAAATTATATATTAGTTACAAATTTTCACTCTTATATTTGAAAATGTAGTAATGTTTTACACTGTGTCATTTTAGCAAAGTATTATTAAGATATGTTATTAATGGGATAAAATTTAATACATGATTTTCTTATTGAAATATATCATTTATCAAATGTTGATTTGTGTAGTTATAGTATTTTTGTCAAGATTTTAACCGCAAATTGTGCTTAAAAGTGATATCTCATACAATATAAGAGATTAATAAATTAAATTTTCACTTTTAAATAATCTAAAAAGACATTAAAATGATTTAAATATTAAATTAAAACAATTAACATAAGTTTTTATATTTTTGAGTTTTTTTGGCATAAAAGTTACGTACGATCTCACATGAAATAAATATTAATTTATAATAAATGTCAATTTTTCGAGGTTAATTTAAATTTAAATTCATTTCCTAATTCAATTTTGGAGTTGTCGTAATGAGATTTATTGAATCTATAAGATAATTGGTAATTTCCAGAAAATAAAAATTGTAACAAATTTTTAATGAAAAAAAATATTTCAAATGTAGCAAGTACTTCTTAACATAATCATGTGTATAAATGTGTAAAGTATTCTACCTGTAAACAAAATATTATTCAGAATCTCTACTCTATCAATTTTGTTAATTAATATCAATAAAACAATGTATATGCTCATATCACACAACTAAATTTACATTTTTCACATGAACGATTTAAGTTTAAGACTCTTAGCTCAATTGAATAAGATATGATCAAAGTAGCAAACATTACCCATCACATCAATCCATCTCACACATAAAACATCAATGAACCTAACATGATTGTCTGAATTTGTACATAACATTAGAAAATGCACGTCAAAGTAATAACCACACCACATGGAAGTTGTCTTCACCAAAACTATAGATATAAACATATTGAAAACCAAATAAAATGAATATTGAAGATCTCAGTTTGATTAAACAACGTTTATGTTTATAATACATAAGTGTGTATAAAAAACATTTTACAAGTTGGTTTTATATGATTGAGTTGGATTTTTTTTATAATCTTGTATTAAAGTTATGAGTTAAAATTTATCCTACCAAAATTTATTATTTATCTGATATATTGTGTCACCAGCTATGAATGTGTTATTTGTTGTATTTATTGTTTCATCTACTATAAAATCATTATTAGATCATTCATATATATTTAATTTTATGTTCAAGATATATATGTCTCGACATAAAGAGATATGTCAGAAATTCTATATTAAATAAAAATAAAACATATTTATTATATAGAAAAGCCTTAACTTAAAAAAACTTATTTCATTGTATATAATTAAAATAAAAACAACCTGAAAATTATTAATAATTAATGTGAGAGTAAGCTTGAGGGATAATGAGAAAAAGCTTAACCACATCTTTAAAAGATAAAAAATAATAAGAATATGAATATCTCATACAACCTTGAAATTCAAATTAAGAGAAATTAAGCATTATTTAATTTCTTTTCACTTTTCATTAAAAAAAATCCATATATTTGCGAGAAAGAGTAAAAAAAATGTATAAATAAAGAAAATATAAAAAAAAAGTGTATGTTTATCTGCAAATTTATATCCATAACACAAAGATATTCATAATTTTTAATATTTTCTGTAACAAATATATATATATATATATATATATATATATATATATATATATATATATATATATATATAAATATAACTATATAACTAATATAGACATAGTTAATTTCATAAGTATTAAAAATATATTTTTGCTGATAATTTTACACAGAAAAATTCACATGTATTTATAGCACAATTGTTCTTAAAAAAAGTTCGGTAAAAATTTATTGCTAAAATATTTTACTTAAAAAACAAGTGTGTATCTTAGTTAAAAATATTGCTCAACATTATTCGGTGAAACACCATATCAAAAGTATTCAACAATAATATTAGAAATTAAATATTGAGTAATTCAAACATAATTCATAACTAAACATTATTGAAAATCTCTAATATAACATTTTAAAAAGTAAATTTATGCTGTATAAAATAATTATTGAAAATCTCTAATATAACATATTATTTCCTCTTTTTCTTTTTTTAATTTTTCATTTATTTCGAGTTTAATCATATATTTCATTTATTTATTTTCTTCATTTCCATCCTATTAAAAGTATTTAATTTACTTTTTCTTTTTAAGATGACTTAGTATATTATGTTCATCAAATTGATAAAAAAAAAACGTGACTGACAATTATAATATAAAACAAAATTTACTGTTAGATTTCAAAATTTTAATTCTATAATGAATCTGTCAATAAATTTATTAATAAATTATAATTTTTATTATTCTTAATAACGAATTCATTAATAAAATTAGTCAGTAAAATTTATTAAAACTTATACTTTTTATTACTATTCCATCGATAAATATTTCGATATAAAATTAAAGTTGTTGTTTTAAATTTTGATTATTTTGTGTTATGATGTGTGTGTAATTAATTTTTTTTAAAAGTTCTTGATAATGATTTATTTTCTAAAACTTGTTTGTAGTTAAATAAATATTTTAAAATTTTATTGATAAATTTGTTAATAATTAATTTTTAAAAAAAATTATTGATAAATTCATCATTGAAATAGATGTTAAATTTTTTTTGAAAATCTGATAAAATATTTATTTTAAATTCATAAAATTTGCTTAAAGATTTTACTAAAAATAAATGCCATATTTTAGTGAACTCAATGTGGCTTTACGAATTTTTTTTTAAATATTCATCGACTTTCAAGATTTTTTCTCATAAAAAAACAAAAACTAACATATACTTTTTAAACATATACGAATGACAGATAACGAATATGTGTACATTCCATTGTAGTAATCGTTAGGTCACGTCACCTGTATCATGCGCAAACGCAATACTTTTCCAATTTGTACATAATATGTTTAAAAATATTAGATTTCTAAACCAAAACAAGAATAAGTGATCTTTTATTTATTTTTCCCAAGAAAAATACAAACTAAAAATTATTATGTGCACTAATAATCAATAAGTGCACATCATAAGAGGACTTTTTTACTTATATATGTGCAAAGTCTACCTAAAAATTCCAAAATGTTCAAAAGTTTAATCCAAATTAAAAGCTGAATGGTGTCTAATTCAAAAGCAGATACGTTTGGTCAGCAAGAAAGATTCAAGAAGTCTTTATTTTCAAGCTTTGAACATGTCGACGCAGGTTTCCTTTGAAAGTCCTCTGTTCCAGAACTTGTCATAGTATTCTCTGTATGTGAAGTCTTTGTACTGTGCAGGATGATCGCTGTCCACGAGTTGAGGTGCTGGTTTTATGGTTGCATCTGGCGAAGGACAGTAGAACGTGGGAATGGACATTCTTTCCTTCTCACAATTCACCAATGCTCTATGCAACACACTCTTGTACCTGTCGTTGCTTATCACCTTTTCCAAAATGCATCAGCATGTAATTATTTATAATCACACAAGAGTCTCTTTCTATAGAAACATGCCAAAATTTGATTACTCTTGCCACATTAATTTGATTTATGTTTTGATTGTATTGATCCAAACAAATTTATAATATACAATGATACGAACATGTTTCTACAAATTGATTTTATAAAATTAAGATAATTTTCAAATTCATTTTTCAAAATAGTATAAAAGTCACATCTCAAATCTATTTAAAAATTTCATTGAAAAAATTCATTATCAATAAAATTTGAGTTTCAACCTCACAAAAACAATCTATAAAGTAAAATTTACGAACACTTGATTTTATCTTTCGATGTAAGATTTTTAAAACACATACTCACCACCACGAAATCTTGTCTAGAAAGAACTTTATAATATATTCAAAACTTTAAAACACTGAATCAATGAATCTTTATCTTTTGATTATATTTTACTTTCTCATTTTTTTAACTCTAACATTTGTCATATTTAATGGATATGGATCTTGTATTTTAAATAGGATTAAGGTGTGCTCTACCTGAATTTGGTCACCGATATTGACTATGAAGGTGTTGGGAACAGGATTGACGGATAACCAGTTGCCTTGATGGAGGACTTGCAAGCCAGGCACCTCATTCTGGAGCAGAATAGTGATAGCATTTGGATCAGCATGAGGTGGCAACCCATACGTTAACTCTGGCTCAGGACATGGAGGGTAGTAATTCACAGCCATGTGCTGCCCATGTTTCCCTAATGCTTTTTCTACGTAATCTCTCTCCAACCCCAAACTCTCTGATATTCCCTCGAGCAACTTCAACGATAAACCCCTCATTTTTCTACTGTACTCAGCAACATCTTCCCTGAAACAACACCCTTCTCAGGTTAAGAAAATAATCACAATTCTTTAATACTTTTTCACCTAATTTTACAGATTAAGTCCACATCAACCATGATTAAATCAGATTAACATAAAGAGTATAAATCAGGGGTTTGTTAGACCTGAAAGATGGAGGGTTGGAAGGCCATTCCAGAATGTAATCCTCAAGGGGGTGGCATTGAAGTCTCAAGAAGTCTCTCCAGTTGGAAACTTTCTCAGTCTTGACATTGAAACTGGTGGAAAGCCTTGTTGTCTTGGAAGGGTCGTCGGAGTAATTCTTCAGCCTCTCACTCTCCGGCAACGCAAAGAACTCCTTCGACACATTCACCATCTTCCTCACCACCTCCTCCGGAATCCCATGATTCACAATCTTCAAAACAATTAATTAATCAAAGATCAACAAACTATAATTAATAACAACAATTGTATGTATAAGATGTAGTTTGGAATACTTGAAAGAAGCCATAGTGTTGGCAAGCATGTGCAATGTGTTGGACGATTCTGGAACGACTGGGACCGTCAAAGTCGTGAAGGTCGATGATGGGAATGGAAGGCGAGGAAGAGTGAAGTTGGTGAAGGTTTGGACGGTCGGCGAGCGGTCTGATGAAGTTGGATGGAACACGATCGATGGTGGAGACTAGGTCGGTTAAGAGTGGCTTAGTGGCTATGGTGGTGGTGGTGGCCATTGCTATGCTATGTTAGGTTTGGCTCTGTTGCTTTGGACATGACAACTGATTGTGTTGGCACCTGAATTTATAATGTGCATTGGGCTAATCAATCTTTCTTCATGCCAACGTCTTCTGCATGACTCATCCCTAAAGCCTTTTATGACGTCACAAACTTTTTTATTTTTTATTTTTATGTATTGAACATAATGTGGGAGGTCGCACCTGTTATTACATTTAATATTTATTTATTAAGATGTTATCAAGTTACCTCAAATATATTATATATTTATTGAAATATTTATTGTTTATTAAATATATTGTATAACTGATTATTAAATTATTTAACAATGTTCAGTTTTATTATTTAAATATATATTTATTGACAATGAAAGAAATATAAAAATAATATAATATATATAAATAAACGTAAATTTCATTCTATAACTTAATTTTTATAAAAAATAAAATCTACTTCTACATAAAGTCAGTAATGGTTTCGGTTGAGTTGGTCCAAAAGTCGATCTGATCCAAAAGTCGATCGTTCTTTCTTATTCTGTTCTCTTTCGATTGATTAATTCTCTCTAAAAACGTAACTTACTCTGATGGATTGTTGATATATAGAAGACACCTCGACACTTACGATATCTTTTTCAAAGAAGTCTTTATTTTATTAGAATAGATCAAAGTTATTTTACATAAATATCAATAATATACAATAATATATTTATAGGACTTATGACAGTCAAACACATTGATTAATCATTATTAATGCTAACCATTAAATCTAATAATCAATTATTAATATGATATATTTATAAAATATAAAACAATCTAACTTATCAATACATATTAATATATCTACTAATTGCTCAAAGATAACAATTAACTATCATCTATATATATTTCATACCGTACAATAACTATTATTTTATATATACAGATTTTGTTCTATACGTATCCCTCTTAAACAGGTATAACATGTGAATCTCACATAAAAGAACAATTAAGATATATTAGTTTTTAATGTCATATTTATTATTGAATAACTTTTCTATTGCAATTAACTATATAATAAATGGTCATATTCGACACGGCAATTTATATAAATGGCAAGACTACAAAAAGGTATGGGAAGGATTAGTATTCCTTTATTATAAGAAAGAGGCAAAATTTAATATAAGAATACAACACATGACAGAATTATTAAGTTGTGATTACTCATCAAACAAATTAAAGATGAGAGATCCATACCGTTGCCCACGTAATATTTAGTTTACTTAATACACTTCACTTCATAAAAAAGTTATTTATGGTGATCAATAAATAATACACGTATAAAAAACGAAATGACATCAAAAAATTATTTTACGGTTGATTATGTTAGGTCGGATGTAAAATTATGCTGTAAACTAATGCTGAAACTAATCTTACTCGATGCAAATCTTTTAATGAATAAGTTTTGGATACAAATATGAAACAATTTAATTCTTTAAAAACACACACACACACATTTTGTGTAGAATCATGTGAGATTATATATGGTTTGACATAAATCTTTTTATACTTTTGTTTATTCGATACAATTTTATGTCGGAGTATGACTATTTAATGTAAGCTAGGTTAATCCGACGCGAAAAGTTTTGAATATATATATATATATATATAATATATATATATATATATTATATTCAAAACTTTTGTCGATATAGAACAGATCACAAAACTGTGATGTTTATAATAATATATTCTTAACTTGATATTTTTCAAAAGTCAAAAGTAAATCCATGTTCATAACTAGAAGAGATGCACTTTCAATACAATTGTTTTTTTAATGTCAGTGATTCATTAATTATTGTTAGCAAACATCTGCAAGATGCTGTCTTATACAAATCACATGCATGCCATGGATAAAAAATCACATAGTGGAGACTTGAAATCTGCAGATCCAACTTCTTTTGTAGGTTACCAACATACACCTAACTCATCTCTGCCAAATAACATTTGCCAAACTTCACAGCAATATTTGCCATGGATATGGACATGGACCACACAAACTGTCACTAATAGTTTCCAGTTTTCGCAAACAAAGAAAAGAAGCGTTATGCTGGCGTCATATTCACTGTATAATTGATGACCTCACTCACCTTCGTCACCCACTATAATGTATATATATATCCTACGTCTGTGTACTGAAACTTTCTTTAGTTACGTACACTTCTTTACTCTTTAACATGTGCACTACCCATATTTGCAGAATATTAAAACTATTTCTTCATTTATGTAGAAAACATTGGAGTGGGTGCGCGTAATTTCTCGAAATAGAGTTATTTTAGGGTGGAGAACTATATCAAACATTTGAATAAGTCTGTTAAATATAGTGAAAATTATATATAGGTTAATCTCCCTTGTGTTGAACACACATAGAGTTCTCTATTTATAATAGAAAAAATATGGGCTAAGCCCAAAATACAAATAATAAATATTAACAAACTAATTGAAAGATAAAGATTTAATATTTTTTAACACTCCCCCTCAAGCTGGAGCATACAAATTGTATGAACACAAGCTTGAAATAACTAAACTAGGTTTTCAACTTCAAAAATGTACGAAGGAGAGCACGAGAGAAGGAGAGCAGCAGAGAAGAGGCAGCAGCAAGAAGGAAGCAGCAGAGAAGGAAGCAGCACGGAGAAGGAGAGCAGCAGAGAAGGAGTGACAGATACAATAAGAAAGGAAGAAGAAGCAAGACACAATACAGAGGCGAAACCCTTACAGCATACAGAGGCGAACCCCTCTAGCAATACAGAGGCGAAACCCTCTAAGCAAATACGCAGAAAGAAGGAGGTCCGAAATGCAGAAACACTGCTACGAGAAGAGACAGTTTGATGGCAGCATCACTCACTGCTCTGGAGGTCACAGAGAGAGGAGAGTCCGGTCATTCAGAGAGGGCAGTGGTTTTCTAGAGACTTGTCTCTGATTCTGGATATTTTTAGGGGCTGCCGCGGCCATGACGGCCGGCCGCCGGCATACAGCAAGACCACCGGAAGAGATCAGAAAACCTGCTCTGATACCATGTTAAATATAGTGAAAACTATATTTAGATTAATCTCCCTTGTGTTAAACACACATAGGGTTCTCTATTTATAATAGAAAAAATATGGGCTAAGCCCAAAATACAAATAATAAATATTAACAAACTAACTGAAAGATAAACTGAAAGATAAAAGATTTAATATTTCTAACAAAGTCACTTCTCTTAATTTCACTTTAATGTTCGGCATAATCTTTTCTTGTAGAGTCCAGGATATTTGTAAAAGACACCCTGACATTTAATAAATATAATTCACCTACCTTCTTACCTTATCTTTCTATATTTATAAGTTTCGAAATAGAATTTTGGTCAAAGTTGGTTCAATCACGACCCAATATGTCGTAAGCCTGTTTTGCCTAGTTAATTATATATTCTTTAATGTATAAGAGACTTATAGGTCATCAACGTGTTTGGTGACCGAACGGTCTCGACTAGTTCAAAGATTTAGATGAGTTGATCGACAGTTCGTTATGGGATTTGCGCTGATTAATCGATCTATATTATACAAGAGTTAAGTTGTACATCAGATTTAGAAAACAAACAATTTATTTATATGAACTTTAATATACATCTAACTCT